GTCTTCTTTCATGTCTTTTTTTTTTTTTTGGTACTGGGAATCAAACTCAGCATGTTGAGCTTGCCAAGTAGGCACTTCTGCCACTGAGCCATACCCCTGGCCCTCATGTCTTTACAAGGTGTGATCAAAAAAAGAAAAACCATGGTGAATGCTAATACTGAGTATCATCCAATGAAAAGGCAGGCTTATAATAGCATAACTATGTTCTCATCCAACCTACTCACTGGACCTGGCATAAGGAGACTTCTTTTTTTTTTTTTTTTTTGGTTTTTGGTTTTTCTCCGGTACCAGGAACCGAACTCACGACCTTGCGCTTGCCAGGCAGGCGCTTTTGCCACTGAGCTAAATCCCCAGCCCCCATAAGGAGACTTCTGATTTCCCCAAGATAAACATTTTTTTAATCAATTCAGGACATCAAAGCAACTCTAACAGTGCAACTAAGAACGCTCAAGAAAGAGGTCTTTCAGAATTGCCTCAGAAAGAGTCAAGAATGATGGGATAAGTACATCTGAAGCAAGTGGGAGTATTTTGAGGGAGATTAATGGTAATATATCTTTTACTATAATAACTTTTAAAAAAACTTAAATTTTCACCATATTTTTTTTTTATCACACCTCATGTATGTGATGAGTAACACAGCTTCAAACTGCATTATGTCAGAACTGACAGCACTAAAGCAAGGAAGGGACAAACCTACATTCACAAGTATCTTTCAAGGGGCTGGGGATTTAGCTCAGGGGCACAGCGCCTGCCTGGCAAGTGCAAGGTTGTGAGTTCGATACCCGATACTGGAAAAAAACCAAAAACAAACAAACAAACAAGTATCTTTCAATCAAGTATCAGAAGACAAGCCATTTTCAGGAATGTAAAGTCTAAAAACGGCACCTCTCCCACCCTCTTTTCTCAAGAAGCTACTACAGAATGTACTCCAATTAAACAACAGTAATTCTTACATACAAGAGAGCTAAAGGAAATCCCTAGGAAACCTGTGAAAATGACGTAGAATGGCAGTGATTCTCTAATGATACCAAACTGTGTCTAGTATAGACTGAAACAGAGTAATTCAAAGGCATGCATTTTGAGAGCTGTCATCAACAAGATACCTTTTGTCGCTGTGCCACCTACTTAGTAACCTGAGGGCAGACAGCCTCAGTGAGCTTGGCCCAGACTCTTATCCATACTTGGTTTGGATGATCTTGAACATGTGCTGATGACATTTGTTTGTTTCTTCCCTCTTTGCAGGCTGGCTTGGATCAGATGAGGACACTCATTTCATCTCGCAGAAGTGCTCTGCTTTAATCTACTCTGGAGAGCTGGGAATTATGCAGTGAGCCAAGAAGCAGAAAAGGCAGAGCATCCCACTCCTTCTAATGATATTCCTGTCAGACATTCAACACTTGATACTTCTAATACTTTGACCCTGCCAGAGGGACCAACTTGTTGAGACTTATGTTTCCTTGTTTCTCATGACCTTGCCAAAGACTTCTCCAAACGACTTCTGGGGACTCTCAGGAGGGTTGAAACTAGACAATGACCTGTTACTTGTCTCATCGGCTCCTGAGATGTCATCCAGTAGGAGCAAAATTCCTAAACTCAACTGCTTGGGAAATGCTGCTCTCAGTAAGGTTCTATCATTTTATACTACCACTGGAAATATATACCTTCTCCCTTTAAGTTCATAGCTAATATAATTAAAAAAAAAGAATGATTTAAAAATCTCTAAGTCTTAACAAAGAGCACATGGGTGCTGTCTTAGTTACTTTCTCCTCAGTGGGACATAATACCTAACACAACTTAAAAAGAGGAAAGGCTTGTTTTGGCTCAATTTGTAGAGGTTTCAGCCCACAGTCAGCTGGCTCCAATGCAGGGCAGCATGGCAGAGGAGCATGGCAGAGAAACAGTTCACAGCATGGGAGGCAGGAAGACAAGAGCCCTCAAAGAGGAGAAAGGGAAACAGGTCCTGCCATGCCACGCTCCCAGTGACCTACCTCCTCCAACCGGGCTTTAGCTCCCAATATCACATTCAGCTATAAACTCCTAAACACAACCAGTTTCACATCCCATGACCCAATCACCTCCCAAAAGCCCACCTATGAGTATATGAAGCCTGGGGAGAGGTCTAGACATAAACCATAACAGGTGTATAAAAGGACATCATTAAAAAAATCAAAGATTATACAAATTGAGGCAATACTGACTCATACTTTTTCCAGAACTGGATTCTATAATGACGACGGTTACATACACCAGTGGTAGAGTCTTTTAAGAAAAGCAAAGAAATTATTATTATTTTTTTTTTTTAGACAGAATCTCATAAAGTTTCCCAGGCTGGCCTCAAACCTGATTCTCCTGCTTCAGGCTCCCAAGCAGCTGAAATCACAGGCATGTGCCACTGTACCTAGCTAATGTTCTGCTTCTGAGCCTGGGTGTGTCTTTATTCTTCTTTAATGTATATGCATTTGTTATATACATTGTTATATTATATATGTATTTTATACACTTCTCTGAACATGTCCTACATTACACAAAAGAGGAAAAAAAAAAACAAGGAAACTATGCTGTATGCAAACATTTCAAAAAACATAAAGCAATAAAAATAGAGAAAATAAAAAACAAACCACAGACTGGGCTGGTGGTACATGCCTGTAATCCCAGCACTTGGAAAGCTGAGGCAGGAGAATAGCCATGAGTTCAAGGCCAGCCTGGGCTACACCTGCCTAAACTACATAATGAGACCCTGTCTAAAAACAAAACAAAACAAAACAAAAAAACTCAGACTGGGAGGAAATCTTTGAAGAACACATAACTGACAAAAGGACTAGTATCTAAAATATACAAGTAACTCTTAAAACTCAAAATAAGAAACAATCTGATTTAAAAATACACAAAAGATATGAACAGACACTTCATCAAAGAAGACAGATCAAAGAAGATGGCGAACATATGAAAAGATGCTCAACATTACATCATGGAGTTGTAAAGTAAAACAAGATACCACTACACACACACCTGTTACAATGGCTAAATCCAGAGCAATGACAACTCCAGATACTGGTGAAGATGTGGAATAACAGGAAAGCTCATTCATTATTGGCTGAAATGCAAAATGGTATAACCACTTGGAAGATAGTTTGGCAATTTCTAACAAAAGTAATTATATTCTTACCATATGGTCCAGCAATCATGGTCCTGGTATTTGCCCAAATGAGATGAAAACATGTTCATTCAAAAACCTGCACGTAATTGCCAAAATGTGTAAGCAACCACGATGTCCTTCAAAAGGTGAATGAACACATAAACTGTGTTTTATCCACACAATAGAATATTACTCAGTACTAAAAAGAAATGTACTATCAAGCCAGGAAGACATGGAGGAACCTCAAATGCCTATTTTTCAGTAAAGGAAACCAATTTGAAAAGCCTACTTACTATATTAATCCAACTATTTTGACATTCTGGAAAAGGCTAAACTAAGGAGCTAAGACAATAAAAAGATCTGCAGGTGCCAGTAGCTTAGGAAGAAGAATGGAGAGATGAATAGGTGCATCATGGGAGAGTTTGGAGGCATTGATGCTATTCTATGTGATACTATAATAGTGGATACATGTTACACATTCACTAAAACCCACAGCATGTACAACACAAAGAATGAACCCTAATGTAAACTATGGACTATTTGCTACAGTACTGAGGATTGAAGGCAGGGCCTTCAAACTGATCTATATACTCAGTTCATTTTTTATTTTTTTATTCACAAACAGGGTTTCCTTAAACTGCCCAAGCTGGGCTTGAATTTGCAATCCATTTGACTCAGCCTCCCAGAGTGCTGAGATTACAAGCACGTGGAACAATGCAAGGCTTAAATTATAAATTTGAACTGAAGTATCAACATAGGCCTATCAACTGTAATAAGTGTACTACATTAATGCAAGATGTTAATAACAGAAAAAACAGTAATAGTAGGGAGGAACTGTGAGGGGGAATATGGGAATTTTCAGCATTTTCCACTCAATTTTTCTGTAAACCCACAACTGCTCTAGACAGTGAAGCATATCAATTAAAAACAAAATACTTATCAATAGAACAGTCTGATTCACATGCTACCTTCTATTTATACTTGTGTAAATATGTATAAACAAACTCTAGAAAGCTTTTAGAAAAAGTAATGACAATGGTACCTGTAGGAAATAGGGAGAAAATTTAAACACACATCTATATATTTAATGAGTTCTCTGGCACCATGCTAATCTGACTGAAAAAAACAAAATACCTTGCACTTACATTCAAGAATTAAATATGAAACAGTGTTAGACAAAATGATAACATCTTTAATTTTGATTATTCCTGGAGATGCTATCCAAAAACATCATCTCTATGCAAGTCTCTAAAAATGACTCAGACCTAATGTAGAGACCTAAGGAATTAATATTCAGAATCAATACAAGACAATTAGTTTGTGTTATGGCTTATAGCTAGATGTCCCCCCAAAGCCTCATGCACTCATAGGTAGATTTTGGAGCTGGCTGGATCTTGGGTGTGTGATACTGGGATTAAGAGTGTATGGTACTAAATTAGTCTACTGATTAAAATTAGCACAGTTCTAGGTGGCGCCATCCAAAAGGTTGGTATCCTGGATGGGATAAAAGGGAAAGACAGGCTGGATGCTTGCTGCTTTACAGCTTCCTGCCTGCTTTGCCATGGACTGTTTCTCCTCTGCCATACCACCCTGCTTGGAGTCAGCCAACTATGGACTAAAGCTTCTATAAACCATGAACTGAAATAAAGCTTTCTTCCTTAACTTTGAGTTGTTGGGTATTTTGCATCGGCAACTAAAAAGTTACTAAGACAGTTTGTTTTTTGGCTGCTGATACTGATCATTTATTCTTACTATGTTTTTCTTGAATGTAAGTCATTTATACTTTTTTTGCTTCATTTTCTAGATCCATTTACACTTCCACAAATGCACTAAAAACAAAGTGGAGAATAAACAGACAACTCACCTGGGATTTGTTCATTTTCTGCAGTTTTGGGGTAGAGGCAGAGAACTATAAAGGCAGAACTGTAATACAGAGGAAAAAAAGAAAAAGACATTGTTATTAAAGATCTAACCTACCTCATAACCCCAGAGTATCTTGTTTAAAAATCCCTACATACCATCTTTCCAATTCCTGAGATAGTTCCTTTAGAAGGAACAAAAAAGATTACAGCCAGGCATGGTGGCAAACACCTGTAATCCCAGCACTCGGGAGGCTGAGGCAGGAGGATTGTTGCAAATTTGAGACCAGCCTGGGATACAAAGTGAGCTCAAGGACAGCCTGAACTACATACTGAGACCCTGTCTCGAAAAACAAAAAAAGAAAAGAAAAGAAATTATAACTGGTAATATGTACTTTCCATAAAACATCATGAGATATCCAAAAAGGCAAAGCTAAGACAACTCATAAGTCAATCAACAGAACCTTCAACTACTGAAATTATCACATAAAGAAATTTAAAACAGCCATGATTCATGTACTTGAACTGAAAAGGTAGACAACATAAAATATAAAAATAAAAAAACAGGGAATTTTCAGCAAGATGGAAAAAAGAAGAAAATATCAAATAAAAATGCTAAGAGAAGCATAGCAACAAATGAAAGAATACCTTCAATAGCTTCATTAAGTTTCAGCAAATCTGAAGTGAAGTGATATCCCATAATAATAAATGTCAAATCATCAAGAAGATATAACACTCAAATATATATGTATGTGACAAAACATCAAGACACAAGCAAAAATTGATAAAACTGTAAGGAAAGATAGATAAATGCACATTATAGTTGTACATTTCAGTATTTTTCTCTCCATAATTGACAAAATAAGTAGATAAAAAGGTACTAAAGATAAACCACCCTGGCTCAATTAACGTTTATGAACAATTCCATCACCAATAGCAATGCAACTTTTAATTAAATAAACATAAAACATTCACCCTGAGAGAAAATTTTGTTGGCCATTAAACAGGACATGACACTTTTTTTTTTGGTCTTTTTCAGGCAGGGTCTCACTATGCAGTTCAGGCTGGCCTTGAGCTCACTTTGTAGCCCATGCTGGTCTCGAATTTGCAACAATCCTTCTGCCTCAGCCTCCCGAGTGCTGGGATTACAGGCGTGTGCCACCATGCCCAGTTCATGACACATTTAAAAGAAATGAAATTTATAACTGAGTATATTTTTAACTAAATCAGAATTAAACTATCAATCAACAAAAAAACGAGCACTGGAAAAAAAAAAAACCCAAAATATCTGGAAACTAAGCAATATACTTCTACATAGCCAATGGGTAAAAAATGAAGCCAGAAGGGAACCTTCTAAAAACTTGAGGAGCCTGGCATAATAGCATGTGCCTTTAACCCCAGCACTGGCAGGATGAGGCAGAAGGATCGCTGAAAGTTCAAGGCCAGCCTCAACTGCATAGCCAAACCCTGTCTCAAAATGACAAAAAAAAAAAAAAAAAAAAAAACATTGAGGCCATTCTGGGCTATACAGCAAGTTCAAGGCCAGCAGAGCACTTAGAGGAACAGTTACAGCATTAAGCTATTTATATCAATAAACAAACCTTTCAATTAATAACTTCAATTTCTATTCTATGAAACCAGGAAAAATGTATGCACATTAAATCCAAAGCAAACATAAAGCAGGAAATAATAAAAGGTCAAAAATAAATAAAATTGGAAACAGGAAAACAACAGAGACATGCAATGAATACGAAAGCTGGTATTTGAAAAGATCAATAATCCCAATAAACCTCTAACCAAACTCAGACAGACACACACACACAAAAGCTAGATATGGTGGTACACACCAGTAATCCCAACATTCTGGTAGATTGAGACAGGAGGATCTCAAGTTTGAGACCAGTTGGACAACTTAGTGTCTCAAAAAATAAAAAGGGTTGGGGATGTAGTTCAGTGATACAGTACTATAGTTCAAGCACCAGTAACACACACAGGTGCATGCGCACACACACATACATAGAGTAGATAATCACTAGCTCAGTTAATCAAAAGACATAGGAGAAAAAAATCTCAAATACATAAAATAAGAAAAATGGGAATTTGTTTGAAAACCAACAAATACAAGAGAAAAAATAATGGGCAAATTTCCATCTCTAACAGCAATAAAATACTAAAAGCACCAGTACAGTTAAGAAAAATAGAAGCAGGAGAGAAGATGTCTGCCTAAGGTGTGACAGCAAGGGTGTCTTGGAATTGGCACTGAAGAAAAGCAGGTACCTAGAGGTGGGAGCAAAAGATAAAGTCTGATATGGGAGAACAGATGAAAATAGAATCTAGCTGGATCAAAATTCAGAGCCTAGTGGGTGAGTGAAAGGAAAACATACCACTCCTGGATCACAGCATCCCAGACCTGGTATACACGCCATCTTGGGAGAGGAGCAGACTGAGGGAGGGGGCTGGACCTTCAGTGATGGCCTGGCTGATGGACTAGACTCATAACAACTCTAACCTCCCAACTGGATAAGGTGAGGGAGATATGTGCAAGCCAAGGATTCAGAGAAGCTGAAAGCAGGAAAATGGGGCAGGACAAAACATGAAGAAATAACAACTGTAAATATGTACAAACCTAACTTCATGAAACAAACACAATCAGAAAGGCTGACCTCAATACATCCCTTTCACAAATAGATCAAACAAAAAATGAACAAAGATATACCAGAGATGAGGGGCTGGGAATTTAGCTCAGCGGCAAAAGCGCCTGCCTGGCAAGCATAAGGTCGTGAGTTCGGTTCCCGGTTCCGGAGAAAAAAAACAAAAAAAAACAAAAAACAAAACAAAACAAAAAAAAAACAAAGAACAGAGCTGAACCACTTTTTTTTTTTTTTTGGAACCACTTTTTCAACAAAGGGATTTAATAGGTATCTACAGAGTATTCTATCCTACTATACTGAATACAAATTCTCAGCAGCACATGGAACTTTCTCCAAAATAGAACACATACTAGTCCATAAAATCTGCAGAAATAAAAAGAATCAAAATCATCCTGTTTATACTAACAGATCACAGTGCACTGAAACTAGAAATCAATCACAAAAGAAACCATAGAAATTTCACAAACACTTAGACATTAAATAACACACTCCTGAACACTTGATGAGCCATGAAAGAAATCACTGCTGCAATCCAGATTATTAGTAACTATTATGAGAAATTATTCAACAACAAATTAGAGAATCTTGCAGAAACAGATTCCTAGACACGTACGAATTACCAAAACGGAACCAAGACAACAACAAAAAAAACCCTCTGAATAAATCCAGCAACAGGCAATAATAAAAAAAATCTACTAAATAAGAAAATCCCAGAACCAAACAGATTCACCACTGAATTCTACAAGATCTTCAGGGAGGATATAATACCAATACTCCTCAAACTCTTTGATATAATTAAAAAGGGAAAGATTACTTCCAAACTCATTCCTGGAAGCTAGAATTACCTTGATTCAAAATCCAGAAAATGACCCAACCAAAAAAAGAAAAAAAGCCCAATCTCTTTAATGAACACAAAAGCAAAACTCCTCTACAAAATATTAGCAAACACGGTGCAACAAATCATCAAAGAGACTATACATCATGACCAAGTAGGGTTTATCCCGGGGATGCAAGGATGGTTCAATATAGGCAAATCAATAAATGTATACACCACATAAATAGAAATGAGAACAGCAACAAAAAATCACACGATCATCTCAACAGATACAGAAAAAGCCTCTGACAAAATCCAATACCCATTCATGATTAAAAAAAAAAAAAAAAACTAACCGGGTTTGGTGCGCACAACTGTAATCCTAGCACTCAAGAGGCTGAACCCCAGAAGACTGCTGCAAGTTGGAGACCAGTGTGAGCTAAAAAGTGAGCTCAAGCTCAGCCTGAACTGCTGAGCGAGGCCCTGTTTCAAAAAGGCAAAAAAACCCCAAACACACCAAAAAAAACTCACCAATAAAAAACAGGTAAAGAAGGACCTTATCTCAAGCCGAACAAATGTTCAATATCTCTGGCCATTAAAGAAATGCAAACAAAACAACACTGAGATTCCACCTTACTCTAGAAACGACCAAGAAATCAAATAATAACAAATGACAGCAAGGCTGTGGGGAAAAAGGATCCCTTCTACACTGTTGGTGGGACTATAAACTAGTACAACTATGGAAATTAGTATGGAGATTCCTCAAAAAACTAAAAATTCAAAGTCTATTCAACCCAGCTATTCCTCTTCTAAGTATCTTCCAGAAAGAGTTAAGGATGTCATATGACAGTGATACATGCATACCTATATTTGTGGCAGCACAATTCATAATAGTTAAATCTTGGAAGTGACATATATGTCCATCAACAGATGAATGCATCAAGAAAATGTGGCATTTTCTTGCAGTACACAAAGGAGTACTACTCTACTATAAAGAAAAATAAATTTGAGTCATTTGTAGGATAATAGATGCACTCTGAGATCATAATGTTGAGTGGAATAAACCAGGTACACAAGCTCAAATATTGAAAGGTTTCTTTATGAGAAACCCAAAGTATAAATAAAGATAATAGAAAATAGGGAGATGAGATCTTTTGCAAATGAAAAGAGGATCAAGACATGGAGGGGAGAGGGAAGAGGCGGAAAGGGATGAAAAAAACGCTTTAAGATGTCTTATACATATGTAAATTACCCAGGCTGGGCTTGAATCTATAATCCTCCTGCCTCAGCCTCCTGTAATGTTAAATCTTACTTTACCTTTACCTTTATCCATTCTACCACTCTACCCCCACCCTCATTCAGTATATATTCTTACAAAAGAATCATCCCTTTAAAAAAAAAAAAAAAAAGAAAGAAAGAAAGAAAAGAAAAATAGAGGCTGAGGCAAGATCACAAGCTCAAGCCCAACCTGGGCAATTTAGCAACTGAGACTCTAACTGAAAATTTAAAACAATTAAAATTAAAAATGACAAGGCCTGGGGATGTAGCTCAGTATAAAGGCCCTTGGTTCATTCCCCAAAATACGTATATAGTACGTATATGTACCACCAAAATACATACAGTACCACCAAAATTCATATATAAAATGCTGCTGATGGTAGTGAAAAAGTGAAACAAAAGGTAGAGACTATCGTGTTACTAATCACTCTGAGGTTCTTTTCCTCAATTCCAGATAGAAATCACAACAAGGCAAATCCATCTCAGTGAGGTTTCACTGGGGCTTTGGCATCAGGGAGAGAGCACGCCAGACCTGGTTGGCTCAAGCAAAAGAAGAGGGAAAGTTCATATGGTCTGAAGTCCTCATTTCCACGCATCCTGTGCTACAAGCTTTGAAGGAAGCAGGTGGGAAAAAAATAGGGCTACCCCAAGATGTACATCCTGTGCAAACCTGCTTCAAGTTAAAGTCCAAAAACATGGCTGGGAACTCACACCTTCCTTATTCTGTCTTCTACGAAAACTCAAGACCACAAAGATGTCCATTATCCCTAATTTAATATAACCATTAAGGGGACCAAAATACATGTATCAACAGTTAAAAAAACAACTGATTCCAAAGTACCATGGGGAGAAAAAACCTTTCCTCCCCTCCTTCCTGGAATTGGACCCAGGGCTTTGCACAAGAGCAGCGAGCTTTCCACTACTGTGCCACATCTACTAGCCCTTTTGATTTTATTAAGATAGGATCTCATTAAATTGCCAGACTGGCCTCCAACTTGTGATCCTCCTGCCTCAACCTAAGTAGCTGGGATTACGGCCAAGCGCCACTATGCCCAGCTATGGGAAAACTTGTATAATCACAAAGTGGTGAAGGTTTGGGGTGCCATAAAAGGAAAGAGCAATGAATTCAACTATAAAACATTTATAGAAAATACAAAAATGTGTGCATGGCAAGAACCACCAGAGGGCAAATCAAAACACAATTAAAAATATTTGTGCTTAAAAATTAGCTGGCTGTGTAACCTTAGGTAAATCACTTCCCCTTTTTGAATCCTGTGGCTACTGAGATGATCATACCGGAAGTCACGGGGTAGATGTGAGGATAAGATGTGTACTGAACATAGCTCTCACTCTGGGGACACCAGGAACTGTCCACCAGGACAACGCAGCAGGACACATCCGGGGCGGGGCCGGGTGTGTCCAGCCCCGCCCACGCCACGCCCCCCGCCGGCCGGCGGTCAGGCGCGCACCCGTGGGGCTTCCCGACTCGTTCCCGCGCGGCCCTAGAGCCTGCAGCCTGTCGCAGGCGCGTCTCCTGACAAAGGGAGGAAGCAAAGCCTCCAAGCCGCCCTCCCCCGCGCCGACCCCGCCTCCGCACGTCTGACCGAAAGGCCCCGACGGACCCCGCTCGGAGAAGAGCTCCAGGCAGCTCCGGACGCCGCCCCGGGGATCACCACAGCCCGCGAGTCTCTGAAGTTTGGGCTCCAGCCCGCCCGGGCACGAACCCATCCCTCAGCTCTTGCCCGTGAGCGCCAGGCCAGAGAACTGACTGGCAATCCTCTCTCATACCTTCAAGGGCACAACCTCCACTCGTGGCGCCGTGCCAGGCCGGGTCACGGCGCGGGGCGGCGAAGATGAGCAGAGAAGGGGTCCCTGTCACCCACTCGCGGCTGCATGGGGGGTAGGGCGGCCGGTGGCGCGCTCTCGCACCACTGCACATGCGCAGATATGAGGGCTGCTCGGCGTTCCCAGGGTCCTCTGAGGGGCGCTACGTCGACCTTTGGGACTACATTTCCCAGAAACCTCCGAGCTGCGGAGTTAGGGACTCTCTGAAAAGTCTATACCTTATTCAAAAGGCCTGAGGAGCGCTTTCCAAGGTAATCGCTTGGCCCGGTCTGTTCAATTTCCCAAAGTGACTTGTGAATTTTCAATCTACTTCCTAATTTCAAAATACAAAAGCCTAGCTTGTAAAAAGTATACATGTCAGTTATAACTATTTAAATGAGGAAATGTGTACAGGAAAGCAAGTATCACCAGTAATTTTACTACACCGTGCTAATTAAAAATAAATAAATTGGCAAGAGTATTTATTTGCTTCAACGACTTTTCCCACTCGATCCCAGCTTTACTGAGGTGTAGTCGGCTATTGTAAAATCTGTACGTATTTAAGGCGTTCAACTTGATTTACATTTAAAGCATACATTGTAATCAACCAAATATAAAAATCAATCTCTGGCTGGATGTAATGGCACACATCTGTAATCCCAGAACTCAGAAGGCTGAGGTAGGAGGATTTCTGAGAATTCAGGGCCAGCCTGGGCTACAGAGTGAGTTTAAGGCCACACTGAACCATATAGTGAAACTGTCTCAAAAAAAGACAAAAAATGTTATCTGTGTATTTAAGATGTACAATTTGATAACTTGATATATAATTGTTAAATGTTCACCACAATCAAATAAATTAATGTACTTATCACTTCTCATAGTTACCGTGTGTGTGTGTGTGTGTGTGTGTGTATGTGTGTTGAGAAAACTTACAATCTCTCAGCAAATTTCAGGTATACAACATAATATTGTTAATTATAGTCACATTGTTTGAATAGCTCTCCACACTTACTCATCTTGCGTGAGGAGTCTTTGTGCTACTTTAGGTTTGTAGCAGAATTTGAACGGAAAGTACAGCAGATTTTCTAATGCCCGTCCCCACTACACACACATGGCCTCCCCTACCCTCAACAGCCCAAACCAGAGTGGACACTTGTTATAAAAGTCGATAGCTAAAAATGTACAATAGACACTGGGAAATGGGAAGAAACTGTTCAAAAGGAAAGAGAAACTGTGATGAGGAAAAGGAGAAAAGAAAGAAGGGAAAAGGAAAACAAAATATATGTATATAATAGTTAAGATAGTTGTACAGTGATCCCTCACCTATCGCGAGAGTTACATTCCGGAGATCCCCGCAATAGGTGAAAATCCGCAAAGTAATGGCGTTGTATTTATTTTATTATTTATATATATTTTAAGGCTTTATAAACCCTTCCCACACTCCTATAAACCTTTACCACTCTCTTATTAACCTTTCCCACACTCTTATAAACATTCCATATGCTCTTAAACACTTTCTACACTCTTAAATCTACGTAATTTTAACAACATGTAAAATTCTATATGGGTACTTAATATGAAGTGGACAAGGAGGGACGCTAAACGTGTGGGCACTGTGTGGGAGAGCAGAAAGACGATGCTACAGTCACTGAGCTAATCAGCGCCCAGGATACAGAATACAGTGCTGTGGTTGGTTATCTTCCATTCCATCAGCCAATAGTGTGCTGTGTACAATCACGTTGGCAAACTTGCACCAGCAATAGTGGCGTACTACATTTCCATTGTGTAGAGTACGATATTCATCTGCTGATGAAATACATATTGTATTTTATTTTGAGTTAATATTCTTTTAATATGTTTGAATTAACATTTTTTATATTTTTATATTGTTTTAAATTGTTTTAGGCCAAAATAATTAAAACCATAAATATAAACACCTGTAAACTGCAAAATCCCGTGGTATAGTGAAAACTCTGCCATACAGAATTAGATTTTTTTTAAAAAACCCACAAAACAGTGAAGCCACAATAAGTGAACCAAGATATAGCAAGGGACAACTGTACTACTAATTTCTATTAGTTCATTAAAAAGAAAGATTTGTGCTCATATTGTTTGATCAATTTTTCGTACCTATATCTTGTCATCTGAACAACTACCTTGAAGATAACAATAAGCAATGTACTAATCATTGTCTCCTACTATTTTGTTTTGAAGTTTTGTATCATTGTTTTTAGTGGGCTTTCTCTTTAAAATAAATAAAAGAAGATTTAAATAATTGAGATATACCATTAAAAAAATTAAAGTCCATAGCTAGAGTTCACTGTTGATGTTGCATCTTTTTTATGTATAATGACATATTTACCATTACAGTATCATGCAGAATACTAGTTTCATTGTCCTAACAATGTGTGTAACCTATTCATCTCTTCCTCCTCTCAACTTAGGAAATTGCTGATCTTTCTACTGTCTCCATAGTTTTGTGCTTTCCAGAATGTCACATTTTTGAACTCATGTATACAGAATTTTCAGATTGACTTCCTTCACTCAGTAATGTGCATTTCAGTTTCCTCCATGTCCTTTCATGGCTTGATAGCTTATTTCCTATTAGCACAGCATAATATTCCATTGTCAGTATAGACTACAGTGTATCCATTCACCTACTGAGTTTTGGCAGTTATGAATAGAGCTGCTATCCAATCCTTGTGCAGGGTTTTTTTGTGAACGTAAGTTTCCAATTGCTTTGAGTAAATAGCATAACTGCTGGATGGTGTGGTAAGAGTATAGTTTGTGAGAAACTGCCAAACTGCCTTCCAAAGTGGCAGTTTCCATTCCCCCCATCAATGAATAAGAGTTTCTGCTGCTCCACACCCATCCTCAGCAGCATTTCCTGCTGTCCGTGTGTGGACTTTGTCCATTCCAATGGGTGTGTGGTGGTAACAAATGGCTTTTAATTAGAACAATACTAGTCTTAAATAGGTTCATAGCAACATGTTTACATCCACAGTCACAGAACCTTAATTTATAAGAGTCAAAGGTAGAAACAATTCAAGTGTCCTTCAAATAATGAATAAAGCAAACATAACACACACACACACATATATATATACACACACACACACATATATATGTTGGAATATTATCCATATAAAAGAATGAAGTTCTGATATATGGTAGAACACTGAGAACCTTGAGCATATTGCTCAATATAATAAGCCAGGAACAGAAGGAAAAATAATGTATGAGTCTACTTATATAAGGTATTGGAACAGGCAAATTCATAGAGACAGAAAATGCAATGGTTACCCGGAACTGAGGGAAGGTGGGTTGGAGAGTACATGCAAATAGGTATAGCTTCTGTTTGGAATGAGCAGGGGTTCCAGAAAGAGATAGTAGTGATGCTCATATGACACCGTGAATGTGCTCAATGCCACTGAATTGTGTACTTTGTTATTTACTTGCTGTACTAAGGATTGAACCCACAGCCTTCACACTGAGCTACATCGCCAGGCCTTTTTAATATTTTATTTTGAGACATAGCCTCGCTAGGTCACTAAGTTGCCCAGGCTATGCTCAAATTTAAAATCTTTTGGCCTCAGCTTCCCAGATTTCTGGGATTACACACATGTGCCACCACGACCAACTTGAATTGAGCACTTCACAACGGTAAATTTTCTGGGTGTGGTGGTGCACGCCTATAATCCCAGCACTCGGGAGGCTGAGACAGGAGGATCATGGCAAGTTTGAGGCCAGCATGGGCTACAAAGTGAGTTTAAGGCCAGCCTGAACTACATAGCAAGACACTGTCTCAAAACACATACATACATACATACATACATACATATAAATAAAGTGGTAAATTTAGGGCTGAGGTATAGCTCAGTGGTAGAGTACTTGCCCAGCATGTACAAGGCCATCAGTTTTTACTCCCACTGAAAAAGATATATTTTATATTTTTACCACAATAAAAAATGAAAAATAAACTGGATCAATGTGATGGTTGCATAACTGAACATTACTAAAAATCTAAGTCTTAGCAAGGTATTTTCATTATTTCTTGCACAGTTTTTTATTATCTTTTTTGTTTGAGGAGATAATAATATCATATTTCATCACAGAGAGAAACAGCTTGCTCAGGACAAGCAAAAAGGACAGCCATATCTGTCAGATATAAGAACGTATTACAAGGGGCTGGGGATTTAGCCCAGCGGTAAAGCGCCTGCCCGGCAAGCGCAAGGTCGTGAGTTAGATTCCTGGTATCGGGGAAAAAAAAAAAAAAAGAATGTATTACAAGCCAGGCATGGTGGCTCATTCCCGTAACTGCAGCAGCGTGGGAGACTGAGACAGAAAGATCCCAAGTTTGAGCCCAGCTTGGACAACTGAGCAAGACTCTATCTCAAAATAAAAACTTTTTTGACCAAAAGACGGTGACATAGACTAATGTGAAGGCCCTGAGTTTAATCCTGAGTACTACAAAAAAGAAAAAAAAAAGTATTACAAAGGTAAAATAAAAACTTTTTGGTACTGACCTTAGAAAAACAAAATAAAGACAAAGGAGTATACTGTATATTATTTTAGTTTCTTTTCAAATCATTGGTGAGAGATTGCAGTTTTCCATGATTGCTGTTGGATAACCAATTAATAATCTAGAAGAAAAAGCATTAAGAGTCCTACAATTGCCCATAGAACAACTAATTATAAATTGGATTCATGATTTAAACTTTAAAATGGAATCTATCAAAGGAGTTATAAAGACATGCTAAATAAATTTTTTAAATATTCTTTAGATGAGAAAGTATGATGCTAAGAATAGAAATTAAAAAGGAAATGACTGATGAATTTAACTGTAGAAAAAAATTAAATTCTCATATATTCCTATGAGCAAAGTTAAAAAGCAAATAAAGTGGGAAAATATATGCAATTCAAGTATAAAAGATAGTCTTAATTTATAAATTCCTCTTAGAAGTTAATTTAAAAATAAATACTGTGGTAAGAAAAATAGGCTAAACATATGAATAAACAGAAAATAGAACCATAAATTTATCAAAGATTACTAAAAATAGAAGAAAAGCAATATTATAGCATATTTAATATAATCTTATTGATAGATTTAACTAATATTCAAAGAATAATAATAGGGTAGGAGTAAATTGTAAAAAATATTTTTACACAGTTCAGGTGAGACTGTAACATAAAATCTTTCAAAATCTTTAAAACCACTAAATTTATCACTTATAAATTTTAAATGAGCACAATGTTTAGTCTTGTGTAAAGATGTACATATAAGGATGTTCTTCGCCTTGTTGTTTATATTTGCAGAACATTAGAAACAGCCTGAAAATCGCTCAATACAGGCAAGTAAGAAAAGCTAGTAGCACTGAGGGAGGCACAGAAATGATAGTGTGTACATACGTGTATGCCCCACAAGGGGAAGGCTTCTGATTCATTGAGAAATGAAAAAATGGAAATCACACAAGAACACGTGGGGCATGGTTCTATTTTTATAAAAACTATGCATATTTTTAAGAAACTAAAAACTGAGATTTTTTTTAAAAAGAGAACCCCCAGTGTACACACACACACACACACACACACATACACACACACTCCCCTAATCACTTTATACATAGCACCACCGAATAGGCATTCTGTGTGTGGGCCGTGTTTCTATAGA